TTATTTCCCGCCTATCTGGTCACATGATGTAATGGCCAATTAGAAGTAACCCAGCCCTTTTTGCTTCTGATTTGGAGTTTTATTCCATGCCACTGGGGGTTTCTACTTTTTAAAAGCTGGAACAATTTGAACAGTGTTTTTCTCCTATGTGATTGTTTGTTTTGTGGGGCCATGACTCTGGATGGTTATGGTGATGAATTAAGGCAGGGGACATGATTTTTGTAAGGACAACAGGGATACCCACCTATATAATAATTCTCCCTACTTTTTATTAATATGTGGGATTAGTTCTAGATTACCTTAGTGCATTAATACATTAGTTTGCCAATAAATTACCTCTGCACTGACCCCCCCAAAAAAGAAAAAAGGAAACAAAGGAGAATTAGGGATTGCTGGGTGGGTGCTATCAAAGGAAGAGGAGCCGTGAGCACATATCAAATCACATCAGACTGAGAGCCAGTGTGGACGCTGACAATGAAACAATCCAGAATCTTTGCTTACTCCCCCAAACTGAATACAACAATAAAAGAGAGTGCAAATCAAGCCACAGCAAAACCAGTTGTTTCAGTTCCGCTAACCAGTGTAGTCACACCTGCAATCACTCAAGATTCAGAGTGGTGTTAGTCAACTAAGTCTTCAAAATTAACAAATATTCAAAGCATAAACATTTGTGATCATGCACCATCCCCAAGTTCCATCTTGGCTAGAAGAGTCTAATTGACTTATTTGTTATTGTGCTTTTCAAATGTGTGTGATAAATAATTGCTTTGAATTTAATGTAAGCCATTTTGGAAAGCATAGGAAAAGCAACCTATAACAATGCTGGGGTGAAAAAGAGGGGGGGGCTGCTTTCATATTCAGAAGAAAAACCATGTCCAATCTAGCAGGTTGTAGGCCAGATGGCTTTCCTAGAAGGAGTGCAGCTATGGTATAGTGCAGTGGTTCCCAGCCTTGGATATCCCAGAGTTTCTTGGACTGCAGCTCCCAGAAATGGTAGCCAACACAGCTAGTGATGAAGGATTCTGGGAATTGCAGTCCAAGAACACCTAGGTTACACATGGTTGGGAACCACTAGTATAGTGGGTAAGAGTGATGAACTAGCAACTCGGAGACTTTGGTTCAAATCCCTGCTCACTGGTAAATGGTAAACACTCCTTAAATATCTCACATATCTTGAAAATCCTATTTGCATTGCCATTATTTGAATGCAACTTGGTGGCACATAACAGCAAAAGCCAGTTGTCCTCAACAGAGCTTATTTGGAAGTCAATATACTATATTGAGGATTTCAGTTTTATTTTTCATCTATGTCTTTATTCCTTTGGCTGCTATAGGTGCAAGGCTGTGAGAAGGTTTGAAAATGCTTACTCCTCCCCAGACAATGATCGCTACACTGCTGCTGCTGCTTTTGGATACTTTAAGTAGCGTGAAAGCTCAGGTGAATCCAGGTAAGGCATAAGAGGGCAATGGGAGTCAAATCCAGAAAATGGGAAATGACTTGGAGATCAAAGTTACCCATGGGGGCGGGATTCCACAGAAGGCCATATCATGATGGGACTTGGAATTGTTGACCAATAGATTGTTGGGTTTTAGCATACAAAATATTGGTAACTATTGCGTTGCAGCACTTAATACTGAGAGGCAGACCTCCTCTGAATCTTGAAATGCTATTTAAATATCACAGCCAATAGCCATCTGGATCCAGTTATGAGAAAAAGTTTTTAAAAGAAACACACTGCTTGCCCCAATTGGGCACCACAGACTTATCCTTCATTTTACATAGGTGTCCACCATGACCCTTGCCCACTCAACCAGTTGTACTCCGGATTTTTTTTATATAAGCCAAGAATGACAAAGGTCAACCATGCACGTGGTAGTCCTCACCTGTCTAAGGAGCTCATCTACATCCTTATGCTGTGGAAATGAAAAAGTATTCATTATGACTGGACAAGCAGTGACCAAAGGAATTTCCACTGGATGTATATCAATTATGGAATCCAAGTTAAGAGGAAGATGAGCAATTTTATTAGTCTGTGTTATGTCACACAAAACGTGGAGCAACTTGCACAGGAACAATTTAATCTGAAAAGTATTATGCACAGCTGCAAAAATCTGGAGGCATACACAGGCAAGGAGTGTAAAAACACACCCACACCACAAAAGTGAACTATGCTATAAGATCGATGGTGGTCTGCACCCAGAGTACAGACCCTTGCTTCCTGTCCATGGAATCTCTCCTCCCTCCCATTCCGTCCCATCCCACCAAAATGAAGGCAGGAAAAAAGGTCAAACTAGTCTATAGGTTGAAGCCAACACCCCCCCCCCAGCCCCTGGAGAAATGAGGGTGGCTTTAGTTTATAGAACCAGTTTGTCAACCTCCCCTTTTATCTTCATTTCTGACCTATGGTGGGTGCAAGTGGCTTGTGAGGTAGAAACAGGGGCAGCATGTGGGTCCTTTGTTTACTGACCACTGTCAATAATGTTATAAACCAAAAATTGGCCATGCAAAATCTCAAGGTATTTAAAAATATATATACATATAAAAGCAGTCTGAAGAAATTCAGGATATAAGAGCAGAAATAAAATGAGGATCCTGATTTGACAGAGTACCTGTGCTGTCAGGCGTGTGCTGGGCAGTGCTGTGGCAGGAAAAAAAAAGGCCTAGTGCACATATTAGTTCTTTGCTGCTTCACTAAAACCACCTCCTCGGGTGTCTGATGAAACCTATGGATTGAGCAGACTGAGCCCTGGAGGGACTACTAAGGAGAGCTGTAGGCTGACTTCCTGGCACCTTCTTCCCAATGTGGAAGTGGAAAACTACCCATGTCTCCCATGTGTGACTGCCTGTGATTTGCAGGCAACCAGCTAAGGAACTTCAGCCGGTCCTGCACAGCTACCTGAGTGTTATTTTTTCATGCTGAACTGCCAAGAGAGTTTCTCAAAGAGCTGCTTGTTCGATCGTGTTTACTGTCTAACCACTGGATTCAGCCCAAAACTCTGTCCATAACCTGCCTCTAAGTTATGACTTAGCAAACTAAGCCACATGTGATGAGGAACGTGGTGTTATTTGAATCCCTTATACAGAAAAAGCATATTGCAGTATGTTCAATACAGACTATACACCCCAAGGCTAGAATTTGGGGTTTTTTTCCAGGAAATTGCTTAGCAATAGAGTCATCCAGCACATTAAAAAACCACTAAAAACTAAAAGGAAAATCCTTCTTTATTCAGTGAATAATTAACTTATAAACTTGCTGCTACAAGATACTGTATAGGGTTGGTAAGAGTCTTAAATTGTTTTTAAAAGAGGGGTAGTGTTTAGATTGATGGACTAGGACTTGGGAGTCCCTAGTTTGACTCCCCGCTCAGCCATGGAAACTCAATGGAAGTGTGGAACAAGTAAAACCACTCCTTAAATATCTCACTTACCTTTAAATCCCTATTAAGGTCAATGTAATTTGGTTCCAACTTAACAACACATAATAATAACAACATACATTAGTACAAGTATATTGGATCATTTCTAGTCAATGTCCCATATTTTATTTTTGGGTAAGGAGCAGGTTGTGGCATCTCGGCTCCAGAGGTTTCTGGATGAGATGGATTCCTTAGATCCGTTTCAATCTAGCTTCAGACTGGGTTTGATGTGGAGACTGGTTTCGGTTCCCTTGGTGGGCAGCATGTGCTAGAAAACTGAACAGTGGAAGTGAGTACCTCCTGGTGGCTTTCAATGCCATTAACTATGATATCATTCTGGGTTGCCTGTCAGGGATGGGACTTTGAGAGACAGTTTTTCAGTGCCTAGGCTGTTCCTGGAGGGATGAGTTCAGAAGGTGGTGCTGCGGGATTCCTGTTCAACACTATGGCAATTGGGCTCGGGCGTTCCTTAAGATTTTTTTTCTCCTCCCTCCTGCCATTTAAAGAAGAAACTGTGGGAGAGATTTCCAAGATGGCATGTCAGAAGTTGTGATGATTTCTTCCTCATTTTCAAACCATCACCACAGAGAGAGCTGGAACAGGATGCTGAGATGATTTTGTTCAGTCTCTTGGAGTGAAAAGAGTTTGTGTCATAAGGCCAGATTTGGCTGCAGCCAGTGTTTTGAAAAGGACAGTAACGCAGGGACTGTGAATACAGTGAGTCTGAAATTTGCTTGGGCCTCGGGCATTGCGGAGTCAGAAGCTGCAAGGTATATGGCCACCATTTCAAGTGATGAGCTCTCTCAGCCTGAGAAATCATCAGTGTAAATATTTGGTTTATGTCTTCTGTTTAGCTTTTCTAGCTTCCCTCTGATCTTCAGAACACTGCTCCTGTTTTGATTCTAATTACATAGCAGCAGTGATTACAGTGAAATAAAAACCTTGTTCTGGAAAAACACGTGACATAATTACACTGGTTCCATGCAAATGGAATAAATTATGCTCATCAATTTTTTTTAAATAAAAGCTGTTCACAGGATCCTCATGGGATCTTCTGGAATCTAAATTAATGGCTGTGTACTACAGCTTGTGTTTGCTTCTTAGTGTTTGTGGCTAGTTTTCTATGCCTAGGAGTGCTGTATGACCTGGGTTCTGCTTGTATTTTAGACATGGCATCCACTGCCTGTTTAGACTATCAGCTGGCCCACATTGCAGACCTTCATATATTTTTAAAGCAAGTTTTTAGTCCTTCTACACCAGAAGTAGAAGGCAGAAAATGTTTCGGGGAAATTGTTCTGTGAGTACCTGGGTATTATGGAAGCCATAATCCAAAATAAGAACTTCTACAAGCTCTGATAATACTCCTCTTACTAAGCATCTGGAAGCTTAGCTGGGTGCTAACTTGAGGAAAGGAGGATGAGGAGAATGAAGGCTCAGTTACATGTAAAAAAAAACCCAGCTGTTTTTGAACTGGGTTTAGCATGCCACAAATGAATTTTTAAAATGCTCACTACATGATGCACAGGGAAGCACAGATTTATTTTAATGTGAAGTGTTTTTGTTGTTGTTGTAAACTGTTTTTTTAAAATCAACCATTGAGGGTTTGTTTATTTTAATTCACTTGTGAAATCTATTTATTTTTAATGGTTTTGGCATATGTGAACACCTCTGTCAGAGTAAATTGTGTCTGTGGGGTTTGTCAAGTTTTGGACATCAAGATCATGGGTTTCAGGATGTAAGGGAACAGAAGGGCGTAAATATCTTGAATATACGGTATATATATATTAAAGTTAAATGGAATATTGCATAAGTATATTTGAAATATTTTTTTAAAAAAATACAAGTTCCTCTGCTGCCACGCCACTCCCAGAGGAGTTGCACCATCATTGAATTTTTCAGGCAAGGAGAGGAGACTGCTATCACTTTAAATATGTACTGGAAGAGGCACCTGGGGGGAGGGGGAAGAGAGATACCTCTTCTCTTCTTGGTCTCTCTCCCCTGTTTTCTCCAACCTTGCCTGCACTCAACAGGAGCACACATTTGTGGAGGGCTTGAAAGGAATGGAGCAGGAGAGGGGGAAAGAACTACCAGAGAAGGAAATCAGAGGATCAAAGAGGCACGTCAAGAAGCAGCCTCAATGGGACTCATCAATGTGTGTGTGTGGGGGGGCACACATCCATGTGTTATGTCTGTTTCATTTTTTTCTGCCAGTAATACTGAACTAGTATTATCCCATGTTGAAAGAAATAAAGAAGAGCAAATATTAAAAATAACACCTCAGCAGCAACAGTGAGTGGCTGTGAGGAAGTCAGTGCTAGGGCAAGAAAGTGGGAATTCTTGTCTAGTTCCTTGGATTAATCTAAAACTAAATTTAGCACTGGATTAAAAGTTGTCCCATCCACGTCATTACCACATAAGTTTACATCAATATGAAAAAAGCCAATCCAGAATCCAATGAATTTCACTAATATAACCATACCCTAAATTAGAAGCTTGTTGTTAATGTTATTCAGTTTATGGTTCTTGCAGGTCTTAAATTTCTGAAAAAGAGGTTTCAAACAAGTATAAGAAAGTAACACTTTTCTTTTCAAACAACTATCTCTGCCTTTATTTGTCTTGTGAGTATGGTATCCCCTTTGAGTTGCTCACTGAGATATATATACTATTAAGATAAATAGATCTTACACATTGGTAAACACTGTTAGCAGAAATTGTATTGGACAATTTTTGTTCTGAAAACTGGTTTCTAGAAATGTGGTTATTCCTTTTGTTTGCACAGCATAAGGCAGAAAAAAATGTGGAGAGATCAGGCCAGTCTCACCAACCCCCCTCCCTAGTTTGCACACAAAACTAGCACTTTGTATAGTAAAAATCACTCTAAAATAGTGATTCTCAACCTTTGAGCCATCCAGGTGTTCTTGGACTGCAATTCCCAGAAGTCTTCACCACCAGCCGTGCTACCCGAGGTTTCTGGGGGTTCCAGTCCAAGAACATTTGGTCTATACAACGTTGGGTAGATGCATTTGAAGTA